TGTAAAGAGAGAAAAAAATACCGCATTGGAAACATTACAACGATGGAAATTCTATTATCTGGCAGAGTAACAGCAGAAGGTGACACATTCCTGCTGAAATGGTCCCATTTCTGACAAACACAGCGACCGATGGTGGAAAAGGCGATGCGGTCACAGCCTCGTGCTCGCTCGGCTTACCCATGGTTCCTCTGAGGGGAATCGTGTCTGTGCGTCCTGAGATCAGCGTCGGTGAGCCCGGTTCACGGTGGAGACGAGAGTCCGCAGCTCCACTAAACCCGCTCCGACCCTCAGCACCGCGGACAGCTCCGCGTCCAGACACCAGGCGGACAGCTGTAAAGCACCGTGAAGGTTACACCGGACACCCCGCTGACCACATCCGATCCACGGCCCCGCGACGCGTCTGTCTGCGCTCCTATCGACGCGGCGAGTGTAACATCCAGACCTCAATTCATTCAAAAAGACCGATTCCGAGAAAAGGACAGATTCCGGTCTTAAATCGTCACAACGGAGCCATCGAACCGTGCGAGCGATCCCGGGCGCAATGTCAGCAGGTCTGCGGGGAGACAACATGTGAGCCGAGCGATAACGCGTCAAATCACCGCTCCATTAGTTCGTCTGTAACACGGGAGTCAGATCTGTGGCGGAGTTGATGGGAGCTCATTACAGATGCGGCGCGTCCCCAGCTCTGCTCCGCCGTCCAATGGTGAGAGGGAGGCGAAAAACAGTGAGAGGCACAGCTTCCCCTGCAGAAGCGTCAACAAGCGCACACTGTCATTCTAGACTAACTGTGAGCTTTTAATAAAGCAGGACCCAGCTGCTGCCATCGTCACCGTCACCGTGGAAGTAAGGATTTCTGTTCATGATGTCAGACAGGACATGAGATCATGGGGCCATGCAGCAGTCACAACTTGTGAATGTGCAAGAAACTACAGCTGCTTTCATGGGTTGTGGGAATAGTCCTCCGAGATATTATCACTTGAGTTGTTTACATGTTGTGCCTGTGATGCAGTCATGACAATAGTGGGTCATACAATCACCATAATGATGGAATTCATTTGTGATGAGATTGGGGTTATTATCAAATAGAACCAGGCTGAATGAACGGTTACTAGTCATTTGTTACAGTTTCTTCTTCTGTCCAGTTGATGCCTCGAGAAACAAGTTTACCAATCACTGCACGGTTACTGAAGTTATCTACAGCAATTCTTTTATTAATTATATTGCACACACATTATGTTAGTGTTGCTGAATCTGTGACACAGTCTGGGACAAGTTGTGCCCGTTATAACTACTGAAGTCAGTAGTAGGACGGTAAAACACAGTTGATATAGATAGGCCTATCTATTAGAATTATAAAAAGGCTTCAAATCAAACACTACTATCAGTAATATTGGCAGCGAAGTAAAACACTTTTTAATTTCACTAATCTTAATCGCATTACTTAGTTTGACAAAGTAAAAAAATCCCACTATAAATACTGCATTTCAGTAGTATCAAAACTAATAATCAGGCAAACTTAAACCCTCCATCCTCTCATACTGTAAGAAAGGCTTACAGGAAAGTAACAATGCAGCAATATATCTTTTAAACGTCCTTGAACAGCCAATCTGAGAATGTAGTGTTGTCCATCTTACTACAAACATAAAAACCTCAAATACAGCTGAGGAGAGTGTAGACAGAGCCAGATGTTCTCAAGCTCTGCACCGCTGATATAAAATTATGTCTGCCACCGCTTCCAGCACTCTCATGAGCCAGAAATTAATTTTGTCCGTAATTTTTCTGCACTTCCAACACATTATAACACATTTAATTAAATTCCAGGCATCTGGCTATAATAGTAACTTCAGTACATCACTACAAAGATATGCAGTTCTATAGCCCTTTACATTAACATTCATCTATTTAAATACTTATTTGTGTGTAACAGTTTTTGATCAATTTCACACTGTCCCACACTATCTTCTAATGATGCTCGAGATTTCTACAGTGCAGTTAAGAGACCAACAATCTTATTTACAGCAACAACACACTAACATACTGTTTAAAATTGAAAGCACTCCTTACAAAACACTGCAGCGCTTCACCTTCTGATTTATAGCAGAAATGTTGGGGGGCCAAGAGCATGGAACGTCTTCAGGAATTGCTTTAATCACAAATGACTTACCCCCTGGAGACAGTCGATTACTCAGGCCCTTTTGAAGCCACATCAGAGGAAATGGTGGGCAGCTCCACCGCTACAAGTAGGCATTCCAAATACTTCACATCACTGAATGTAGTTTATCTAAATCAGCAGCATTTCATATTTTCACACCCAAAAAGTCAGTCTGTGCTTCAAGTGTACAGTTCAGGCTAAGCTGGTACAATTAATGTGATTTTTATCAACGCAGATATTTTATCAGGGTTTTTCTGTCTATTATTCAGTTTGTTCTGAAAATACACAAGATCTATATATATATATATATATATATATATATATATATGTATGTATATATATACTTATATATATGTATATATATATATAGATATAAAGATATATATCTATCTATATATCTATCAAGTAAATCATAGGTTCAGCAGCAGCTAAACAGGTTTTTTTAACAGAGCTCTTCATCCTTCAAAGCTGATGTTACCAGCTGTTTAACTCTAATACTCTCTAGTCATATTCCAGTGTACCATCGATGAGAGCCGTCCCAGACAAGCAGACGTGTTAATATTCAATGGCAGAACAAGATCTCTCTCACCAGTGCTGTCACCATCTGTGAGAGAGGGAAAGAGTAGACGGATGGAAAAAGAACAGATTTCACCACCGCTACCTCTTTCACTGACACACAAGCTTTTAGACAAGCTGGTAAGGCACACAAAAATGTGATCTGTTGTTGGTGGCAGAGTAATCACAGCTTCTGTCATCCATTTGTAAATACAAGAATGACATAATTAATCAGCATTCAATATCAAAATACTCCCAGTGTGCTACTATGAATAATCGCAAACTTACAACTAATGCCCTTTGCAGTCTTCTGACTAAGACTGTGCAGTTAGCATTAGCATTCCCAGACAAAAAGCAACCTACTTACTTCTGCAGATCTGAATAAATTCCTCTCTCTGTCAGAATGCCCAGATAAACATTTCAATTATGCATTCATCTAAAATGCAGACGTGAAGATAAAGAATTTAAAAATACATCTCAAATAAAGTTGAAACAACCAAAGTCACCTGTGCTGACATCAGTTCAACAGTGAGTTACTTGCAGATGTATAAGTGGATAACTTGTACTTCAGCTCCTCACAGAAACAAGCATCAAATATTTATTGTGCTCTCAACTCAGCCAAAACTCAATTCTTTCCTACACTGGTCCCTGCTAACCCCTGGTGGCTCCTAACAGCACCCATCAGCTCTGAGACACTTGACTCTATTACCAGACAAATATAGAACCCACTGTGTCTATGACTGTGCACTGTCATGTGTGTCTGACAGGTCTATGGCTAGAAAACCATCCCACCTCCTTTTACACCCTTCATAACTCCTGCCACCTCTTTAGCTCATGAACATGCTGTCTTTCATCTCCTCTGACTAATCTCACACATATATAAATATATATATGCTTACATAAACACTTACTCTGCTCTCCTGCTGAAGACAACTCTGTATAAGCAGGTTAGTAGATTTTCAACTAAAAATATATTTCGAATACAGCAGAATTACTTGGTAGAGATAGTGGAGTGACTGAAGGAGTCACATATGATTCTTTGGATTGGGATCAAATGTTCACCCCCTCCTCTGAGGTTTGCAGCTGTACCTCAGTATACACAACTCAAATGTATTTACATTACAAAATATGAGTTGAATTACTTTTTGAACAACTCCACATGAACAACAGCATCCATGATCTGCATGGACACATGACATTGAGTGCCAGGAGGCCAAGCCAGCACCAGGTAAATAGTGGGCATTGCCTCAGAGGCACATCTCCCGGCCTCGCTGCCAATGCCCCATCAACATCCATCGCCAGCCTGCTGCCACTGTTATTACTCAACACCATCTGTAGAACACGGTAACCGATCTCCTGGCTAATAGAGAACAATGGTGGCCTGTACAACTGGAGGGAGCAACAGAACACAGGTCTCTCCCAGTGCTGCTGCTCTGTTGTTTCAATGGAAACTACAAACATCAACCTCAATCCAAGTGGGCTATAGATCGTTTGGTTATTGCTTGACAGTCAGCAGCTAGAGAAGGGGAGATTACACCTCAGACAACTGTGGAAAATCTATGTTATATATGGCAACAGCATTGATATGAACCCACTGATGGGTGCATCCATCTGTCTTTGTGATGTTAAAGTTGTTTAGTTAGTTGCACAGATACAGACAACCCCCAAGGGGATTCAATACTGCCATCAGATCAGCTCACAATGTTTTCCCTTTCCGATCTATATTGGATAGTGTGGTGTGGGATTTCATTGATCAAACTTTTTCAGTCTGATTAGACAAACTACTGTCTTCATCTGCTTGTATGCTATTGTTGCTACAAAACATTGATACACAATATTAATCCAGATGATCTTCACCGGCACATTACCCATATGTTTAAAGTAAGGTGTAATTTGAAAACCAATGTTAAGCCTACAGACGTACTCCGCTGAATTAGTATGCAAAGAGTTGGCATCTTTCACTGCAACCTGGGTGGTCATAGTAAACACACCAATGCTATTCAATGCAGTAACACAGGTTTCCTTTAGGCTTTATCCCTTTTAACCCTAACCCTTGCTGGTTTGTTTTTATTGTTTTATCTATTGATTGATTGATTGATTTAGAGTAATGTTCATTGCGATTATTCAGTATTTATTTCTAACCCTGATAGACTCATAGGCAACTTGGTCTAAACCTTTTCCTTGTTTTTTCATTGTTGGCTGCTGTATGCGTATTTATACATATCATTGCATTCCATGAACAATGCTTGTGTTCAAACATAGTCCCAAAAAACACAGAAAAGAATTTGCTAACCACTTTGTCCTCCTGTTGCAATTCCATGAGAGCAGGAATGCAGCAGAAAGAGAAGAGGGAGGCAGAGGGGGAGGGAAAGACAGGAACAGAGAGATTGTGAGTGGCATTAGCTGGTCCTGGTAGCATTTTCACATACTCCAACAGCAAAGGATTGGACGGCATCACATAAAAACACTCACAGCTCATGACTCAAATTTAAGTGCTCTTACGCTAAAAGCTCTGGCTTAGTCTGAGGGGAGGATTTGACAGAGGTTAGTTAGGCACTGGAGTGCCACATTATACAAAAGCAGACACCAGGTTCCTTTGTGGGAAAAGAAAAGGAGGAACAGTTCCCTCCAGTGGTGAAATTGAACAACTGTAAGTTACAGTAAAATGAAAATCTACAGTTGTGAATCAACATATCTGAGAGAACAGAATTAGAACAAGACCTGCAGAGAGTTTCTGACTGGAGTCAATGTTGATAAGCTGAAATAAAATACATTAGCTGGCATTAAGGACACTGTTGGCTCAATTCCCAGATCAAGATTTCCCTGCAAGGTTTCATAACCTTGTAATGCAAATAGTGGTGTAGGGAGAAATGTGCCTGCGGGTGGGACATCTGCATGTGTGTATGTGTCTTTATAAATGGAGTGTTCCCAGCATGTGAGCCACCGTTACCTTATTTGACCGCAGAGACACTCGTCCTCCGCACCGAGCACAGAATTTCGTTTGGCAATATGAACAGAGGTGGCCACAGCCATCGGCAAACTTGGTTTTGTGGCATATCCCGCAGGTTGGGGCTTCACTCTTCTGATCCTGAGTCTCCTTAGACTCATCTCCCATCTTCTTAACCTGGTCCTTGTACGATTCAAACTGCTGGTGCAACTTCCTGTAAGAGGACAGGAAAGATGTTAGGACAACGAAGACATCTTTGAAAATACAATTGGTGTTGTATTTATTAATCTATTGTCTATTTGTACAAGCTAATAACCCTTGATTGTCCTTTAAAACACACATTTACCAGAACAGCACTGGCCTAAGTACGTGACATTATTCCATCCTAAAAGTGCAGTGTTTCACTCTAAATGTTTAAGAGAAACAACCACAAAAATGTGTCAACATAGAGGATAAATTAATATAACATCGTATAGTAAAAATGGCCAACAAATGCAATATATTACATAAAAAGGATCTTTCTAGCCTGAATCATGTGCTTAGTCCCACATTAAGCTCCTTCTATCAGCTGACCTTCTGATATAAACTCAGACGTCCATGTGTACCGTGTGAGATTTTGGAGGAGAGGCAGATACCATGACCTCAGAGGCTTCAAAGCTGAGCTCCTCCTTTGATACCGCACCTCTCCCAAAACAGTGGGGGTGGGGGGGGTATCAAATTTGCTTTGCAAGTTTAAGAACATCACTTAATTCCACTTTCTCAGGTTCCCCTGCGTTTAATGAATCATTTGCACGTGTGTTTCTATATCAGGACAGTTGTAAGGTGAGACAGCGAACACCCTTGAACCAAACTGTTAGACAATAATATCACCGACACCCACAGTTAGTATTTCTCTTTTGTATTACTTATAGGAAATCTTTGGTGATCAGCACACACTGTACAGCCCATCACCCTGCTGGCCTTTACCAGTGCAGCATCTATTGTGTTACTATTTGTGTCCTATAGATGGCCCCCTACTGATGCATTACACTTGTTCTTATACAGTAGATCCTTAACGCCTAACAAGCCCTGAGAGGCTCCTAAAAAAACCTGCATGGACTCTTCACATGCATTTTGTATGACACATGTCAATTGAGCGTCTCCTTGGAAACTAAACACTGGGCTGACTTCATAATATGGCGATTAGAATTGGTTTCGCCCCACATATCCCCTGCAACATTCATTAGCACTTGTGAATTATTGAGCAGCGCTATCCTTTTACCACATACAGCTCTGCATTTGAGATAAACGTGCTTCCTTTACCCACAACCAGACCTTCAGCGCCCAAATGTGAAAAGATGCACACCACCTGAAGACAGCCCGCGTGTGTGGATCGCATGAGCAAGTCTCTGTGCAATGTAAAACATTAGGTAGAGTGCCAGTAGCGTGCCCCTTGTTGTACCCACTTAGGGATTAAAGAGCTAATTGTGTCACATTCATTGTGTGTTAACCAAGCAGAGATTAGTGAGTATTCTTGTTTAACACATTTGACCAAAGCTCATTTACTGACAGAGGACCTGATAACACAGCGAAGAAGACTAATGCAGGAGGTAAAGCCACGGTCTTTGAGGAACACAGAAATAAGACAACAAACAATCAGGTTCTAGTCTCTCCTAATCTCCCTTTACACTCAAACATTTACAGAGACATGGGCTCAACGCTGGCCCACTACATGGGCTAAGGGCCACTGCTCCACTGATAGACAAGGTCAGTGAAAAGAGCGGTTAAAGATAACCAACGATTACTTCTCCCTTCTTCTGTATCAGGTCACTTCTTGAAACGCTGCCCTCACGTGATGGGTGCGGGATTGAGGTTAAAAAAACAAATGTACAAATATAACTGTAGCCTGTAAGGACATTGCTGATTCTACGACAGATATGAGGCAGCAAGAATGACCAGATTCTTTAGAATAGGAGAAAGGTGTGCACAAGCTTTAAAAACAGAGCCAATGTGTTATCAGGTAAAACATGAAGAGGAAAACAAAGACCAGAGGTGGAGCGAAAGTAGACTCGAGTGGCAGCTGGTACACAGAGACCATTCCAAAGGGTTTAGTTATTCGGTCAAACACGGTCAAATGTGGGTGACACTGCTGATGAGTAATCATACGCTGCTCATTGTCCCGTCCCATGCTAGCGTATCGGAGCTCTCTTACCTCTGGGCCGCACCAGAGCAGCCACAAACAGCCCGGTAACATGAGACTCTGTCTTGGACATATGACAGCAAGGCTGAACTACAAGACTTAGTTTTCTACAGCATACCCCTACACTAGGTTTGTCAGATTTTCTTTTGCTAAAAACATTCTCCTGCTGCAGGAAACAGAGTTGATGAGATCTGTAATACTGAACCAAAAAATTATGCTTTAATGGGCTAAAAGTTCAACAGCATTGCAGAGGTGCATTCAATTCTACATGTGGGTGTGTCAGTAGGAGCCAACCTTTTCACGTTACACACAGTCGTATGAAAAAATGAATAACTATAGAATTAATCTAGGTTATGTGGGAAAATTGGAATTTACCTTAAACTTGAATTTAATGTCCTTTCACTGCAGTGAGTATCTGTGAGGCGACTGTGGCCTCGACCCTTAACCTAACTGTGCAGACCTTCTTCACAACTTGCAGGTGTAGCTAATGGTCTTACCATTTAGCCAGCATACACAGAGTAGTCTATTATGTTATTGAACATGATGGTTTAAACAGGGCTTTCTGACACAGAGTAATTATCATTATTAATGACACCTGCTTTCAAGGCTGTGACAAATCTGTCCGAAATCACTCACTAATCACTGCATAGTCCACTATATAGTGAGTTTTGTTGTGGTGTCTGAATGTTTCATGAAGTTTTTTTATACCCTATATAGTGCACTCATTGTTTCCCACAATGCATCATGAAAAGTAGTGCACAACCAATACCATCATGCAAACTGCGCTCGCAGTTTGTGCTGCTCTGCTCCTATTTACATTATTCAGCATTTTTCTCAGCGTCAACATACGGCAGTAACCACCTGGATGACGAAGTATTCTGCCCCTGTCATTGTTAGTTGGTGTCAATGATTGCTATGATTAAAACGTTTTAAACTCTTGGGTTTTCATGTGGTTGTTAACTATTTAGAAAATAAGTCTAACTCCACTCACACCTAGGGTTGCAGTAAACCACATACTGAGTCGATAATTGTAAAAAGGAGAACAAACCAGTTTTCAACTTCCTGTCTCTAACCTTAAAATGGAGTTACACAAGGTCTGTTGAAGCTAGCAATGTATGGACTACTGGAGGAGACACAATTTTACTCTTTGTCCATATTCACATTTATTTGCATTGAACTTTTAGCATAAATATATTGATTGATGTGTTAAGAAAAAAGCAATATATAAATAATATGCCCTTATATAACATTGGTCAAACAATTCTGGGTGTTTTAGTCCAAATAAATGTTTAATATTTAGATGAATTCCCCCTAATTGGTCCTGATAACAGCTTTGAAATACATAAATGTTTATGACATCATTTGTTGAATTGAATATACTTGCACTTGTTCCACCCTACACAGCCTTATGTCATTTGTAAAAGCAAAATCCATCATTGAACATCACTCTCACACCAACAGTGTTCCACATGCTTAAACACATGTGCTGAGAAATGGAACAACATATTCTAATATCCACTAGAGTCAAACATACTGTGCGTCCAGCTGCTGGGGCCAGCACTGTATGTTTGTGCCTGCTAGGTGGAGATCAAACGGGGTCTGTGCTATTACTTACGCGTCTGGCTCTGGCTCCTTGTCATTTTGGGACTTTTGCTGGGGCTGAAGAACGTTATTTACCAGCTCAGTGATCCCACTAAAGGGAAACCACCTGTTCAAATAAGGAAAGTGTGACTGAAACATCGCAATGAGTCATCATGGGAGAGAACAATCTATCCTGAAAAGGGTTTTTGAGGAAGCAGGGCAGTTTCTAAGAAGTGAACAATAGCAGGGACATTCACTACAACCAGCGCAGAGAGAGGAAAAGGCCGGGCAGAGCGGCAATCAGTGGAACATTAACAACTAGTCGGAAATACAATAAGAAAGAAAGAAAAAGATGATACACACAGCTTTAGTAGATGGTAGGAGAGAAGAAGCAGGAAAGCTCTGCAGCCAATGGAAATGAGAGCTGCATCAAATGCTGAGCTGAGGGGAACAGGAGCGCTATTTACTCCGGCTCGGTGGTAGAGTGGGGGTCAGGTTGTTGGACTGGTCAGGCCCGCAGGTAAATTTTGTGAAAATGCAACTAGAGTTCAGTAGAGCGGGAAAGGTGCATCTAGCCCACAGTTGTGGTCAGATTACGAGGCTGCACAAGCCAATCAGATGTCACACTGGATGGGAGTGGGCAGCCAGTTAGAGACCAGGGACAAGGGGAGAGGGTTTGGGGAGGGCCTGGCTATAACAAAGCGGTTTGAAAGGAAAAGCCTTTGCCACTGATGTCATGGAAGCCGACCAGTTAGCAACCAACACAAAATCCGACAATCAGGTCAGTGCTATTTATTGGAAGCTAATACACAGCGCGGCCGTCATGCTCCCACAGCAGCTTCCCATGACATTAGTGACACGTCTTTCATTTTCCTCCCAGACAAAGAGGAGAAAGCCACATGAAGCACAAAGCACCGACTGACAGGAAGAAGTGTCAAAGCCTGGAGCACTCTGGGTAATGGAGTTTACTTACTGTGCCGGCTGAGGCTTTGGTTCTTCTTTGATCCTAAAACATGAAAAAAAAAAAAAAAAGTGTGCACAGCTCAGTGCATACAGAACACAAAGAGATGAGGAAAACATACTAAAAGACTCAAAATACTGACACAACTGATGACACAGAAGATGAGTATGGCCATGAATCATGCTGAAACTATAATATGAATAATAATATAGATATTATAAATGGTAATTTGATGATGATCATAATACAATGATGAAAATGGTTATGAGGCAAACAACATGAAAAAAAAATGAGCAGAGTGACTTTAAATGACTTCAAATTTGGTCTGGACCAACGTAACCTTTGAAATGGCTGCTTCATGTGAGTAACACCCTCTTTCACACAAGCACGAGTCCACTACTCTGCATCCCAGAAGTCAAAGAGAAGCGTCTGCACAGGTTCCGAGTCACCAGCAAGCAGAGCGGTTGAGCTAAGTGACATTTGCTGCATCAGACCCTGAGGATGGAAAACGTATCTTCTACTAAGCCGAGTCAGCAACACACGGTTGATTTGATCCATAGCCATTAACACATCAAATACATTAGCTAGTTGTAATAAAGCAATGTAACTGTAAAAAAGCAGGATTGGAAATATAGTCTATCTTAATATAGATCATATCTTGATGCATGGACTTAACATCCATCCATCCATTATCTATACTACTTATCCTAAGAGGGTTATGGGGGGCTGGAGCCAGTCCCAGCTGATGTTGGGTAAACCCTGGACAGGTCACACGTGTTTAGCAGGGCCACCATACAAACGACAATTCACACTCACATCGACACCTATGGTTAATTTAGAGTCTCCAGTCAACCTGATCTGCATGTCACTGGACTGTGGGAGGAAGCCAGAGAAAACCCACGCAAAGAAAGGCAGAGCGTGCAACACCACACAGAAAGACGCCAGCCAAACCGGAATTCAAACCGAGAGTCCTCTGAGAGGCAACAGTGCTTATACCACCACGCACTTGTTGTAATACAAATAAATAAAATGCAAAATATAAATTCAGAAACATCTAAAGATAAACCGACACATGTTCGGTGCACTGGGCCTTGTACTTGTCCCAGTAATTTGAACTTTTCTCATTTATTCAAAATAGAAATTGTGAACCAAGAATAACTCAGGCAACACAGCCAGTGCACACACACACACACTGCAACCACCACATGACTGTCTAGCATCTGTCTACCATGGTACAGTTCAGCCACTCTCTCCCAGTTTAAAGAGCAGATGGGAACAGAGACAAGTTGCAGCTGACGATCACACATCAGAACTTCACGCACCTCCTCACCAAGTTTAAACTCAGCTTTAAATAGCTGTGCTAAATGAAATGTGTTGATTAGTTGGTCTGATTCTGCCTGAGTGACACTTTGTGTGATGCAACTGAAGTTTGTCTTCATTATAAGTTAGTCTATTAATTCTTTACAATGATTTTTTTTAAATTACCATCACGACTTCATTCTCATGTTGTTTTGTATAAGTAGAATGAAGCCCTTTTCAGAAGCTATTAGCAGCAAAGTAAACTAATAAATTTCAAGGCCAGATAATTCAACAAATTCTCCACTCAAAAACGTATTTAAAGTAGTGAAACAAACTGCTCCGATACACCAGCAGAGAGTAGGGGCCTGAGCATGACTAGATATTATTAAAAAATGTATAGAAACTAAACTAAAAACAATATTCCATCAAGTAAAACTCCAATACTTATCCCACAGTGTACATTAAGTGGATCCCATTCAACTGCCAGACAAACACAGAGGCAAAGTGAAACAGTTCTCATGCAGAGCATCAAAATACAACAAAGCAACCTCCCAACGGTCTACTTTAGCTGGAGCACAACAGAGCAAGAAATCTGTCTGATCTGTGTCAGATGGGTGAGAGAACACACGAGCAAAGCTATAGTCCTGTGTACCCATCAGTCTCGCTGCTCTGTTTTCCGATGAGCCAGTCCATATTTATCCTCTCACTGTGTTCTCCCGATGACCTGCAGCGCCGTTCTTTATTGATCCCATCAGCCCAGTCTCTGTGGTTGCATTACAAGCCTCATATTTATCTGATGGAGCCTGCCTGCCTGCCTGGACGGCTGCCGGACAAAGTGTGTGTGTGTACGTGTGTGTGTGTGTGTACGTGTGTGTGTGTTTGAGTGAGTATCCGTCTATGCTTTCACGTGTGTGTGTGTCCCCATATCCATGTGTGTAGTGTACTCATACATGTGCATATGTGAGTGAGTGGGTGTGCGCAGTGTATTATTTGACATGGGGCAGTAAAATGAGTGAGTGTAAAATGTCACAAGTGACGTCTTCAGTGTCCTGGCTGCTGAGGAGGCCTGCAGGGCAGAAACAGTCTCTGTTTTCCATCTCTTACACCTGCACTCTGCCTCCCCTGAGCCCCTCACACACACAAAGTAAAAAAACAAAACACACACACTCGTATGGCATCAGAGACACACTGTGTTTAGAGCATCTGCGTGTGTGATTCTTTATGAAACGGGCAGGTTGAAGTCATAACAAGACACATGTTACTGTTGTCTTTTGGTTTTTAGTTTTATTCGTTGTGTATTTAGGTTTCCTGAAACTCACTGGCTCTGCATGGAGAAGCTGTCAGCTCTGACAAACACCGGTGCCGCACTGCTCTCTAGTGGACAGATGTGCTGCATCAACTTCAAGAACTGGTTCCTGAAGTTTGTATAAAGAATGTTGAACAAGGTATTTTTATGCCATTCTGATTTAAGTCATGATGTGCTGATGAACAGTGTCATTTAAAAAACAAAGCCCCCCCATTCTGTTTAACTGCAGGGGACAGAGTAGAGCAACCCAGGTCCCAAAGGCCAGGGTGAGGTTATACCAGAAATTATTAGTTTTTAATTAATTAATCAATCAAAAGGAAATAAATACTCATTCATGGTCATATCATTTTGTGTACCTTGTCAAGCAAGCTTTCCAAATATTTATATTTACCTTCTCCTTTTTATTGTACATTTAATATCTTTTTGATTTGGACACTACTGTTAATTTGTCGTCTTTCCTCTTGGACATCTTCATGGATTATTAAAATTCCTATTATTCAATAAATAATGACAAAAAGTTTAAAGCATTGTCTAAGGTTTGACTTATTTATTGCAAGCTTTACAGAGGCTTGTAATAACTGTACACCATCAGGAAGGCCTTTCCTGATGTGCAGGAGATGAGGCGCGCACAAAAACTGGGGAGCATAGAGTGACCAGCAAGAGTTACCAAGGTGGAGGAGACACACTGCACTGTAAAGCACTTTGAGTTGTCATCAGGACTAAAAAAAACACTATTTTAATACAGACCAGACCATTTACACACTTTGGAGACAAACCAAAAAACATCAGTAATGGGAAACAAAAGAAAAGGACAGTCTTCAGTTATGCTGCAAGGTACCAAAGATGGTAAGAAAATCCAAAATCTACTAGAAGTTCATGTATCGATCAGGTATATACCATAAGAGGAACAGAGGAAACGGTTTTCTAAAATACCTCCCTGTAATCTGAGTAATCTCTTTTAAACACAGTTCCAGATGGAAGACGTTTTGAGAATAAATGCATTGATGTGACGGTTGTACAATGATCATTCCACCACAACCAGAACAAGGTTGGTAACATGTCACATGCACCACAGCAGGTCACGCAACATGTTGTGATGGGAACCAGAAACAGGAATAATTCATGAATACACCAGCCAAAACATTTGGGCACAGATTGTCAAGTACTCACTGACATTACCACAAAACACACAGGGACATGCTCATGATGCACATGTGCAGTTTTCTGTGTCAGCACTTCTTGTATTCCAACCACTTAGCACATATTGGAATATCTCAAAGAAGTGAGACAACTCCTGAAATCTGATAAAGGAGTTACTGCTCAAATGTCAAAAACAACGGACTGACAGGAATAGGAAAGAAACTGTCCATAAGTGATTATGTCAGATTATGTCACATTATATCAGTGGATGAGTGTCAGATCACACTTTGTGAATGCAACACATTCTCTCATAAAACGAAGAGGTGATGCTTTCTTCATCCAGAGAGATGTTACTCAATGCTGCAGTTCTTCTTGGCTCTATGCAGCTCTTAGTCCCTGTTTGAATTAACTCATTGCTTTGGTTTAATGACCCAAACCTAACTGTTGTCGCTGAGATCAACAGATGAACCACATGTGAACTCTACACCTGCCTCAATCTATCAATGTATAAATTACAATGTATGTGAGGGACTACTTTCAGCAGCAGATTATATTTGAGTATTTACAGCACAGGTGTGGCTTTAACTCACAATTATTAACAGTGCTCAGGTTCATTATAATGAAGGAATAATGATTAGTCATGCTCAATGCAAAAGTGTGGCTCACTGATGTGCTCAGAGTTGTTTTGGGATGGATGGAATTACTGTATGTGGCACTGAGGCACACACATCAACATCATCATCTTTTAAAATAATTATCAGAAGGGCGATTTGGAGGACTGTAATGTCAAAAATGCCATGAAATCAAAAACACATATATACATATAGTCTATGTAGATGAGATTCAAGAGAATGTACTGTACTGTGTTCATTTTAGGCACTAGAAGTGCACCCCACTCTGTCATGCTGCACGGCACTTCCACATCATTTTTTTTCCAATTACACCAGCTCCCTGCCAAATGTGTACCAGTCCAACCCAGTCACTCCAGCAAGTACCTCTTGTCTTTCAGTAATCTGCAGCTCCCGAGTGTTTTATTTCCGTTTTAAAAAAGTCTGGCAGATGTTGATGTGACAGCTAAGAAAAGTAGAGATATTGTGACATGTGCTTCTCTGGAAATGCTGGGAAGCAGCATCACTATATTTCTGGTGGAGAATTTGTATTTTAAAACCTTTATATAACAATCAATGAAAATATGCTTTCTTACATTCTATCCATGCAACTTCTTTGTAAAAGTCATCTTAAGATTTTACACTATAGCGTCCAGGGCGTCCCGCAGTGCTCTGCAGATTTTGAACAGATC